CCATTTCTAGAGGCAGGGCGCTGGCGGCAGCGCCAGTAGATTTGGAGTGCGTTTTGGGCGTTGTCTGAGACAGTACCGGTAGCGAGCTATAACACAGGGGAGAACCGGCGTAGATGCCGCTGATCATGACACCATGGCGACTAGGTACGGCGGCTACAGCTGGCACCACTTTCGACGAGACTAGCGATTTTATGTCGTCGTTGTCACCGCCGTCGCTTCTGCTGCTGCTGTTGCTGTGCATTGCCTGATCATCGTCAGTAATGGTCGTGGTAATCGCCGTCGCACCGCTGTAGCACTCATTGGTGTATTTTCGCAGCAGACGTTTTTTATACAGGTGTTTATAGCTGTCGTCCTCGAACGACGTCTTATCCGACGTGACCCGCTTGGCGATGATGACCGTGTCGCTGTCCGAGTGGCTGCGCTCTCTGACCACCGGAGATTCCAGCTTCGTTTTCGCCACCGATGGTACCGACACCGACAGCAACGACTCTTGCAATGATCTGACACTCATCGCGTCGAAGCAAAAGTGCGTACGCTTACGGTCGCTGACAGATAAATCTATGACGTCGTCGGAGACGGACGGCGACGAGAGACAAGAGTCAATTTTTGTCGGACTGAAAACTTCTTTGAAATCCGCATCCATATCCATAAAGTCGGAACTGGGCCGCTTACGGCTGCTGTTCAACATGGCAAACGTTGGTGTGTCCGGATCGTTGTTGTTATTATTAAATAACGCTGATGCGAACATCAGACACCTACCCTGAGAAAAAGCACCACGATTATTACTGTACAAAGTATTGTCGCCGTCAATGGAGCATTGCATACTGTCGCTAATCACAACAGAGGTACTTCCAGCGCCTCCGCAATCTGCCATCTTGAAATGGAAATCACTCAAGTCACGCAGCCCTAATTTTAGGCCTTAACATGCCTGGTCCAACGGTTTGCGTCAAGCCGTTCACAGCGTGCAGTCTGAAATCGGTTAAGTGTACTTCAGCTTTTCGTCTGTTGCGTAATCATACAAAAAATAATATCAAAAAACGTCAACAAAAACAAAATTGCCGGAAGTTAATGGTTTACAATATTGCCGACGTCAAACAATCAAAAGGCATCTAGTTTATCATATGAACTTAATTAATATATTGTGCACACCACCAGAAGGTTCGGTTCATTGTCAGTGAAAATAGCCACTGCATCTCATTCTCAGGATGTAGTTGAACTATCGGCCCTGCACGCCGCACTACAAGAACAATCGTTGCTGTCACGTGAAAAAAGATGATGGAACTATTGCATCACCACTGCTTCTAGAAGTCTAAAGAGATATTTCATGGGCCTACGGCTACACAGTATCTGAGAGTCTGCAAATCATGAACACATCATAACAGCATCGCTGACTAAAAAAACAAAGGCATAGCTTTAATCTGAAAGTACTTATATATTACGAAACACTTAAAGATTTGTTACCGTTTACGAAACAGTTTTTTTATAAATTTTAAAATGTAAATCTAAATACTAATATTTCGAAATCCGTTAAGAATCAGACAACGACAGAGTACCCGGTTAATAGGTCAGCAGCCTCAATGGATCATTCCTGTTTTTTGGAAAGTATTAATGATGTCATTGCATCAGAATGGACTGATGTTCGTCGCACTCATATAAAAGCTTTTTCTTGAGAGAAGAAGAAAAAATCACAATGTAAGAATGGGTCGATACCAATCTCTTTGCGGCATATTGTTTTTAGTGTCGCAGCTATGAGAAAAAGATAATGGCATGGCTCAAATGTGAGTCAGACCAATTTACAAACATGGAGCTGAGCCATACACGAGGCCTTTCACAGCCTTCACGGCACGGAATCATAAGAAATTGCATCAGGCAAATCACCGTAACCGACGGTGACAAAAATGTAGCCATTTATAAACTGAATAGGTCAAAAGTAAAGACCGCTAAAGTTGTTGCTGTTCGTTGCGATCACCATTTCGAGCGAGTTCTTATCGGCAGAACCGATCTGGCTGGTGATATCCGCTTCATTCTCAGTTTCTAAAACTTCCTCTGAGATCGGTTAGAGAGTAATTTCTCTCCAAGTGCAGATGGTCCTATGTTGTTCACCCGTATTCAATTGTCTCCAAATCTGTCATATTTCGATTCCCAATGGAAGGCCTAGAATAAACGCTTATGTTCAACCACTTTGTTTAACAAAGTCAACCTCATTGTCTTATCGTCTACATATGTTGTGAATGTGTGTTCGCAGAAAACAACATTGTCATTCGTAGAATGATCTTGTCATTTAGCCCTGATTTTACATCGAAACCAGCGCTGTTAGACGTTATTCCACCCTCTCGACGTTCACTGTCTTTTATTAGGGCGGTGGTTTCTGTACCATATAGCAACAATCACTTGACTGGGGCAAAGTACAGAGGTTTTGTGGAAAAGGAAACTATTTGCTAAGTCCAAATCTTGAATAGGTTGCCAAAATCACTGAATGCATATGCAGTCATTATATTTACTCTAACTGCATGGTACCGTAACTGGTAATGATCGAACCGAGATCATTAAACTGGTCCAATTCTTCTACTGTTTCATTTCCCTGTTGCATTTGAAAAATTGTTGTGCCTGATCGCTTCCTCGTAACTTTTGGCTTCTGGACATTAGGAAGAGAAAGGTGTTGACGATCACCTGTCCGAGAAAACGTTACGCAAAAAATTCAGAGACCTGCGCCAATCTCGATTTAATAAATCTTTTAGAAAAGCTGCTAAAAGTCATTTTGTGTGGAAGCGGTCAACTGGCCACAGGTCGTTGAAGGGACAAAACGTGGTGACATGTTGAGACGAAACAAACTTGTCAGTGACGAGGAATATGGCCTTCACTGCAGGAGCCAGCAAAGAGTACCTAATAAACGAGACATAATTTCAGCGGTCAAAAGAAATCCGGACAAATCGCCTGTATAAAGTCTGATAGGCCTCGACGACTGCAGATTGAACCCAGAAGGATGTTATTCAGTCCAGCAGCTGTTCAAGGCTTACTTTAAGCAACAGCTCAGTGTCACACTTGATGTTTTGGCAGTATATGTGGTAAAAGTTTTGGATTCTAGATCCCAAAGAGATCATTCGCAGCAATTCTGAAGTGTTTAGTGGCATGCTGTTGAATTTCACGCCTTATAGGCCTTAACACATTCATCCAGGTATTCGCTAAATTAAGGTACGAATCGCAGAAACGTTATTTAAGATCGATCATTCGTGAGCTTAGCGCTGCTGTTCATCCGGCAATGTCGCAATCATCCTTCTCTGAATGCCATAATCAAGTCTGAAGGAGGGACACGCGAGTGGTGTGATAAATATCTGTCACATAGTCTATCAGATTTGAATTCCCATCCTCACTTGCATTATCCCACGATCCGAACATATTAATATAAACTTTAATTCAGGTGTTGTCAGAAGTACTGATATAAAATGAATCAAAACCACCATTCATGTTCCTGACTGCAAAATAGGAAGTGAACTTTGACAAGTCGAGAAACAGCTGTCCAAAAATAAGGTGAGAACATAAACAAGTCTACAAACTTTGGAAGTCGAAGAACGGTAGAGAGCAGCTGCGTGGCAAAGACTGTGAAAACGAGTTGTTCTACCGCTAAGTGCATTAGTTCAGATTTAAAACTTATGAGAAACCGCGAATGTTTGCAGCTTGTGTTTTTCTGCAGTAGTCAGTCACCTGCATTTACAAAACCAAAAAATTCGCTTTTCACTTTAAAAAGGCAATGATCAGTGCTAGACGTGTATTATAAAAATGGTATTATAAAACTGTAAAACATCTACAGTTATTACCTTTTGCAACGGGATGAACTTCGCAAAGACAACGCGCCAATCTTCACCCCTCCCCAAAAGACGTCATGGTACCTTACAGCGGTGACATACAGCCATTTACTTTTGTAGCATAATGAAGGACACTCGCGAAATGGACGTAGTTGACGGCAGTGGACAGCAGTTGTCGTGTTCAGTTCCCTTTCGTGTTAGCAGGCTAAGCGGAAAAAGCGCTTAGCACCTTCCGCGCTTTATAAACCTTGTCGACCACTGTCCGATTTTCAAATCACAACAGTTCAACCAAAAAACAGCAAACACTAGGATCATGGCCAGATAGTACCGCTGGTTTTATGGCGGTGCGGCGCTGTCACTTCGTAAACTGGATGTCAGACAGTAGTTGCTGAGGCTTCGAAAGCGAGGATGGCATTGCGCGTTTTGTTCTTTAAGCTGGACGGTAAAGAATGATGATAACAACCCCAGAAACAGGCTGCTATTGCTACCCCGAACCCGTCGACGTCACCGTTGATCTTTGAGAACCATTAGCTGTCGAACATCTTTGAGCAAAAACTCTCAGTAATATACGGAAACGGCCGCAATACCACGTTCACCTCACCGAAGTCACAAGCCGACTGAAATAATTAAGTAAATAGCATAGCAGCAACAGCTGATATAGCGGCGATGCGCGCTTTCTGCTGAGCAGTTTTCACGCAGAACCGTCAAGTTGAAAAGAAAACCTACTCGACTACCACTGCTTAACAACACCTGCTTAACGCGTTACTTTCCTAGAAATTCGAGTGGCTATAAACCTTCGTAAGGTCAATGATGCCTTATGTGAGAGTCATTGAGAGATCATCATGAATTCGAAGCTTAGTGACGGGTCAATTTAGAGTTAAAGTTTTTTGATATTAACATTTTAGTTAAATAACTAATGACTCCGCCAAGCCTGAACTTCACGGCACATAGCGCCGCCATTTGCTCCTGGGTGCCTAGGGAAACATTTAAGCAGACCAGGACTCCATGATATTTGAGCCTTGCAACGCCAGATGCATCTTGCATCATTTTCCTGATAAAGCGATCTCGAACCCATCACAAACGGTGTTTCAGCAGTCGGTACTCCGTATATGCTATCATGTAAACTTCATAAACTGTCTGTAAGACCGAGTATGTCAACGACTCCAAGGCCAGACTTCCTAGGACAGACTAGGCACTGCAGGCACTCAAACACCAGTGAGCAGTGGTATGCTCAAACGGTCTCCCTTGGCAACAAGGCGAAACGGGGCGGCGCAACACGCACTGAAATCTGGTCTCGGAGGAGTCATTTGCTATTTTTGATATACTCGGGCGTATGAACAGCATACGATATTTATGTGTTAGTATATGATGAATACCATA